AAATCAGAATCTTATTCTTCCCTTTCTTGCGAATATACAGGAAGAATTACGCCCATATTTTTCATTGCCAAAGGTCTTGGATGGCCTTTTTCAGTCTTGCCAAGACACTTTTTGGAGTTGACATTGAGCAGGCAGATGGTCTTGCTCCTGTAATGAATTGATTCATTTCTGCTATTTCATCACCTTTAACATATTCTGAGTCTTCAGATTCCACTAACACATGCTTCTTGATTTCTAGGTTTGGAACAATGATGTTAGATTTTACTGTGTCAAGGATTCTTCTGGTAACCCAGTTGCATACTTCTACTTTGATCCATATTCACGTCCATCTGAAAAGAGAGGAGGTGCATGGATGGACGAAGTACTTTCTCGTAGCCGTGTATTGTCACGTAATGGTTCTGCTGTAAGGTTGCCCGTCGCCCACATGGTGTGCAATCAAACTCCACCTGTTGGAGACAAGCCAAGCCTTATGACATTCCGGGAGGTAATAGGTTTTGCTGGCTGCCATCCATATGGTTCTTTAGGTGATCTGGAAGGTGTTTTGAGCTATTTTCAGCTTGTTATATTTGTGGGATTCCAATTTCAGGAGTGCGGTTGCTTAGGAGTCTCATATCTATTTCCAAAAAGAAAAAAACAGGAGTCTTATGTCAAATGAGTTGATAATTATCTTCTGGAGATCTTCCCTTTTTAAGATTGATAAGTTACGGACTTTTGTTTATAGCTCAAACCTGAACTTGAGTTTGCTCTGGCCAAAGGTTTGAGGTGCCACTTGGCCAGGAGGCAACCGGCTTTTACGTGCTGAGTTGACTTAACACTTAACAAGATATGTCACAGTCCTCTATCTGGGATAGGGTCAAGGGGCCTTCCACATTGAAGTCCCCAAGCAAGCTAGAAGCCTGCTTCCTAGATTTCCGGCCTTTAAAGCATATGGTGAAGCTCGTTTAAGATAATCTAGGATCTTAGAGTAAAATTCTGAATTTTTAGATTGAATAGACATATTTTTTTATTAATCATCAGAAGCATATTTATAGGAAATGTACTAGAATAAAATCTCTATCAGATAACCGGGATTCTAGACCCTGTTTTATTAAACTGTCTAAATCACTATTAAAACTCTTCCTAGATAAGACTCCTAAAAATAAAAACGAGGTTTAGAGAAAGTGAAATTTGGAATAAGTTTGAAAGGAATAAAAATTTACTTTTAGTGTTTCTAAAGGACTGTCTTAATTTATTATTTGAGTGCGACGCTATGACATACCACCACATAAATGCTTTAATGTAATGGTTTCTTCTTTAATGTAATGGAGCAATTGTGTCTCACCCAGTGTCATGCTTTGTTTTTTGGGTAAATTGTTCTTATAAAAGAAGGATGTGTCTTTGCTTATGATCCCTCTCATTATATGGCAATGGTGTATTTTTCAGAAACAGCAGCATCTTGGATATTCTGGAATTTGTATAGTAGGTGCCAAAATTACAGTTGAAAGTCAATGACATTGATAAATGGCATTTTGTTGGGCAGGTTGAGACTGTCTTCCATGAATTTGGTCACGCTTTGCAGCATATGTTAACTAAACAGGAAGAGGGTCTGGTTGCTGGCATTCGAGGGATAGAATGGGATGCTGTTGAATTGCCTTCACAATTTATGGAAAACTGGTGTTACCACAGGTAATCTTGTACAGCCAAGACATCGACAGGATTCATTTTCCTTTTTGATTTTTGTGTCTTACATGTGGGTGTTTGGTTTTACTTTTATTTTTTTTGTCAAACTAGCTTATAAGCTAGTTCAAGAAAGAAATGGTAAAGGAAAATGTGAAGCAGGGTTTATCTCTTTCCTACTGCTTTTAATTTTTACTTCCTCAATTCATTTTACTTTTAATTTTTGGGCTCTTGGTGACAGCATTTCCAATTTCCATCTTTGAAAACTGAGTCTTTATTTTGTAACTTTTATCACTTGTACAAATTACTTCTGATTGTAGCTTTCTTCTATTCCAAAGTTCGGTTTATTTCATTGCATGGATGAGCTTAACTTTTGTTCGCTGCAGGGATACGTTAATGAGCATCGCAAAACACTATGAAACTGGGGAGAGCCTCCCAGAAGACATATATTTAAAGCTTCTCGCTGCCAGGACTTTCCGTGCAGGGTCTCTTAGCCTTCGTCAGGTCAGTGAATTATGTTTTGCTTATTTTTATTTTTGTTGTTGCCTTTTTTTGGGGGAATATCACTATTGTATTATTTTTAATTGCGAAACTGAATTTTTTTGCTATGTTATATTTAACTCTTCTATTGGTTTTCATTCTAGTTTCCCTTGTCCATATGGAATAGACAAGTTTGCTTTAACTTACTTTTGCCTTCTTAGAAGTTGGATATCTTTCTGTTTCAGATTGTATTGTTAGAAGTTTTTTCTCTCCCTCTCTTTTTTTTTCCTTCCTTCTGTTGAGCTGCACTTAACGTGGTGTAACAGTTTAACATCATGCTTGCTTGAGTAGTGATAAATCTTTGTTGGCGGGATCATGCTTTCTTTGGGCATTAAGAATTAATTATTTGAGGGTTGAGCACTTGGTTATTAAAGCAGGGAGTTCTGAAACAATGTAACTGATAGATGTAGAAAGTAAATATGATGTTTGAAGTGAGGGCTGTGGGAATCAAGTAGTTTGCGACGAAAGTTGTCTGCGAAACTTTACATGTGATGGAAGTATTTTGGCCTGGGGAAATTCTTGTCTCCTAATGTATAATAGATGTTGCTAAAATGGTTGTTAACCAAGAAAAGGATGATAACTATGATTTTCAGTCCATGACAGTAACATCAGCCTGTGGATTATCAATTGTCTGAGCTGAAAAAAGCTGGATGAATAAAGAGGCTAGTAGTAGTTCAGGCTGTTGAAACGCTTGCATCTTACTATCCTCCACCAAGCTCTCTCCCTCACCTCAATTATTATTGTATATGTTTTGGGCATAAGAAATGGATAGAAAAATAGTGGAATATTCATTTCTTGAAGAAATGGACCTTGTGATTGATTGCATGTTGATTGTACCTTTCCAGTTACGATTTGCAACTGTTGATCTGGAGCTGCATACAAAATATGTTCCTGGTGGGCCGGAAAAAATCTATGATGTTGACCAAAGGGTATCCAAGAGAACGCAAGTGATTCCACCACTTCCTGAAGATAGGTTCCTCTGTAGTTTCAGCCATATTTTTGCAGGTTTGCTTTTCTATTTTTAATTTGTATGATTGGAAGCAGTATTGGTTCTTATGCTGGAGCAACCACAGCCCACGAAATTTATCTATAGTTCTTTTATGAATATCAGGTGGTTATGCTGCTGGGTACTACAGTTACAAGGTATTTTTGTTCATTCTCACCTAGAATTCTTGTAACCATCTCAGTAAACATCCGTTAACCCTTATTAAAGCAGTGGATACAGCTAAAACCTTGCCGCTCATCATAAAGAAATTGCAATAATAGTCTCTTGGTTATCCACAGAAGTGATTTTATTTTTGCTTCCATTTTTTTTTGTGGCTTCTTATTCTGCAACCTGAAAATGGAGATGTTAATTCTGTAGTGGGCGGAGGTGTTGTCTGCTGATGCTTTCTCGGCATTTGAGGAAGCTGGATTGGAAGATATTAAGGTAAGATTGTGAAAACGGTGTTTCTACACTGGCTCTTTAAGTTCATGTTGATTCTAATATCTTTCCTTTCATTCTGATCTAATAGAGTTGCTATTTGGATCCAAACCATGGTCTTCCTTGCAGTTCACACAATTTGAATATCCATGTCTTGTGAACTTATGATGTTCTCGTTAAAATGTATAAGAGAAAATTGAGAATGTGTCCTCAGTGTCAACTTTCTCGCCTATGAATTCCATTATTAAGTATTGTGTCTATCATTGCTCCATGAAGACGTGCACTTCCTTCATGAATCTCGTTTTATTTTGACATGAGAAATGTAATTTGTCCAACCTTCTTAATGCTCCCAGCGGAGTTATGAGTTTAGATTACTAAGCTTGGTTTCCTTGAAAAATCTGAATTTAGACACCCAAAAAGTTTTGTGACAGAAGCAAGCTCAAAACTATGGGGGTTACCTTGGCCTCGGTTGCATTGTGGAGTTCTTTGTTACTGCTTTCTAAACGTTATTGGAGACCCATTCATTCTAGCTTGTTAAAATTACTGGTTATATTATGTTTGGCAGGCTGTCAAAGAGACAGGAAACAAATTCCGGGATACCATCCTTGCTCTTGGGGGTGGAAAAGCACCATTACAGGTGAGACCATTTGTTGATTTCTGATTTTTTTTTTTTTGTGTTAAATTTGATTCAAATTTCAGTTTTATTGAATCTGAACAAGAATATGACCCAATAGGACAATAAATTGAATGAAAATAACATTATAAAACCCTAAGTTAATCTTATGCTTTAGTTTAAATTAATTTTTTCTAGTGTCCCCTCTTACGATAAATAAAGAATATAAATCTGTTCAACGTATGAAGAAAGATATAGGTGAAGTCAGTCCAATTATACGTTAAATATGTAAGTTATAACCAAATTTTAGATTAAACCAAAGCAAACAAAGTCTTAACCGTCTGCAACTTGATGAACTTCTTCCCTCTCCTGGTTCCTCTTCAATAATTTCACCCAACCGGCCACACGCAAATTGTCTTCTGAATCATTTATTTTGATCTCCTGTCAAGGTTTTTGTGGAATTCCGCGGACGGGAACCATCACCCGAGGCGCTACTGAGGCACAACGGCCTATTACCTGTCGCAACCTAAGCATGTGTTCTTTGCCACCATTTCTCTTTTGGTTTATTCACAGGGTATGTAAATGACATGGCGGCTTTGGTTTATGGAGTTGTATGCTGTACACTTCTTTAAGGACTTTATTTATCAAATTAACCTTAAAAGTAGATCATCGTTTTTCTGGCTTTTCATATTCATGCTAGACTTCTAATAATTTCTAATATAGATATTAATATTTACTCAATTTAGGCTCCAATTGCTATATATGAATGTACAGTGGCTCAAATACAAACATGTTAAATAAAAATAATCTTGAAAAAAAAATTTAATTTGCGTTATGTTTTTTACAATTTGAAATAGTGTTGGAAGTACCCAGAGTTATGATAATTATTGGGATCCTAATCAACATTCAACAGGCTTGCCTTCAAAGAGAGATCTGAATAAGTAAAATGGAGAGAAAAAAACGAGAGAGTAAGTAACCAAGTACGAAAATTCATCCTCCACCAAATTCAAGATATATGGTTATATAAATTAATGTAATTATTATAATTAGAAATGTATCGTATACTTTACAGACAAGATTTATCGTTTGAAGTTGAGAAAAATAATAATAATGCGAGGAAGTGGGAACCAACAAATCCTTTGAATCTATTATTTGAATAAACCAACGGTGAACAGTTACCACGAAGATTTTTATTTGCAAGTGAACAGTCGTCTCCATCTACCGTCTTCGGCTTCCTATTTGCCTGTCCTTATTTCCGAGAACCGTGAAAACCAGTCATCGAATGCAGTCTATTTGAAGTCAAAATCATTGCAATCTGCAGAATTTTCTGGAGCTAGAGGTGAAATTGTGAAACGAAGAAATGGCGAGAGCAGGAGGGATAACGAACGCGGTGAACGTGGGGATAGCAGTGCAAGCTGATTGGGAGAATAGGGAATTCATCTCTCACATCACTCTCAATGTTCGTCGTCTCTTTGAATTCCTCGTCCAATTCGGTACGCGCAGAATTCGGATTTCGTGTCAATAATTTTGTTTGCTTGAGTTTTTTGCCTTTCCTTACTGGGAAAAGTAGACACCCTTGAGATCGTTGTACAAATGGTGGAATTTCAGATTAGAGATGTGCCGCTCCTTGTTTGGTTTCAGCTCCGTATCTGCTAAATCTGGATATATATTTTCTGTTAATAGAATGGTTTTAGTTTGGGCATGGTTGAGTTAAATTAGATAAATGGATATGATTGTGCACCCTGTTAATATATTAGTACAGAACTTTCCTACTTCTTTGTTTCCATTTCTGTTTTCGCTGTAATGTTATGAATCTGAATTGAAGCGAGTTGGAGCTACCTTGAGCTCAATCTGCAGCTGATCAACTATTCTTTTTAAAGCATATTTCACCCCGGTACTGCCTAATACCTCCTTTTTGGACCGCTGAGGTTTAACTTACCCTCATTATGGAGCTTGATGCATATAGTGATCTAGGTTTCAGTGTTTTGTTGCAAATCATGGGCAGGTTTAGTTAAACTTCACTATGCACTGTAGCTTAGAATAGGCACGATTGTTGTCGCCATGAAACCACTTTCAGCTCAAAAAATTTCCTTGTTCGAGTAAATAATGCTTCATTATTATATAGACGCAGGAAGTTCCATGATGATTAATCAACTGGTTCTATTGAAGTTTTCCTAATAGGTTTTGTAATTTCTTCAAAAGCTGTTGTCTCTCTGGATTCTTTTTATGCCTAAGGTAGTCTTGTGTGTAGTTTTTCATTTATTGTATTTCTGTTATTTTTTCATTCAGAGGCTACAACAAAGAGTAAGTTGGCATCTTTGAATGAGAAGCTTGATCTACTGGAGCGGCGGCTAGAGGTACTCGAAGTCCAAGTGGGCACTGCATCAGCCAATGCATCTCTTTTTGCCACATGAAGCTTATCGTTAATTGTATGAGAAGGAGTTCCCTGTAAGCACCATCTTTTTTGTATTTGAAAGGATTCCTTTATGTTGTAACCTATGATGTCAATAGTGCATTATCCAGTTCTCATGCTTCTTTTTTCTGTTGATTGATGTTTTGGATGATAGAAACTTCCCCCTTTTTTTTAGGTTTTTAGGAATTAGTAATATGCAGCTTATATTTTGTAATAAAACTCTATGTTTTGTGTTGTTGTTCTGCAGAATATTTTTGTGCACAGGCATTCACTTAAATGGCATGTTGTTGCTTCTTGGCAGGAGGAAAATCTGTAACTTCGATATAATTCTATTGTTACTTGGTGTTACTCGTGAATCCTTCTATGTGATTTTTGGTTGAGTGAGCTCTATAGTGCCTTACTTGAGGCTTATCATGATTATATTTCCTTATGCCATGCATACTTCTTGCTATGTCATCAGTCTAGATTGCAGACATAATTCTATTAGAAATGGTACCGTAGAATTCATTTGGTTTTCTGGAAATCTTTTGGAAATCCACAAAGTTCAACCACGAGATGATGAAATTCTGTTAGAAGATAAAAAAATGACCTTTTAGAACTAAATTCCATCGATTCAACTTGAAATTTCTTAGGAGTTATCTCTTTTGGATAGGATTTTCTTAATCTTTTAGTTAAATTAGGTGTCAATTTCAAAATTCATTTTCACCTTTGTTCCAAACAATTTTGATGGAATATAGAGTGATTGCTTCAATTCAACTTGATATTTGTTAGGAGTTCTACATGTATTATTTCGGATAGGATTTTCACCCTCTTTTAGTTAAATTAGGTGTAGGTTTCAAAATTAATTCACACCAATTGTTTTGTTAGGAGGTGTACATGGCCTAAATGAATTTCTTTCTTTCTTCTCATAAAAAAGGACCCACCATCATGTTACTACTCTCATCTTGAAGTTTTCAGATTCTTATTTGGTCTTCTAACATTACATCTATTGCATTTGATAATTTAGTTGCTCTAGCCATCTTCATTCAAGATATGTGAGAAATGGAGCTACCATTATGAACAGCTGACAATTTTGGTTTTCCTATCTGACCTTTGATCTCTTCTATTATCTTAGATCATGCATACATCAGGACATGGAAATTCGTGTTCTGAAGATTGAAATTTGACAGATCTGAGTCTCTGGAAGGGCTGGACTTAGTTTTAAGGACACCTGCCTCTTTGGCAATTTGTCAGTCGATATGATTATTTGATCATCAACACCAACTTCATTGATCATATAGCTAAACCTTTATATTTTTAGATTCTACTATAGTTCCTTGGAGATACCATGGCTCTAGGTAATTTCCAAATTGAAACAACTTTGTAAGTGTCTCTAGTAATCACTGAATGCCCCTGGTAATTAAGTTTCTACCCAAGTTTAAGTGATTAGTGTGTAAAATTACTGAATCCCTATTAAGTATAAAAAGTTAATGCAGAGGCATTGTTGCCTCCGAGACATCATAAAACTGCCTTTCTTTTTGGCACTTGTAGATTTACACCGTTTGTGACTCTTTTAACACACATTGGTTAGTCATTGGGTCTTGGAAAGGCAAACTAGACCTGGAGAACATAGGGAAAGAAACATGAAATCCACGCCATAGTCATTCAAAGTTCTGTTGCAAAATATAGATTCCTTAATCCAGAAATAGAATAATAGGCAAGGAGATTCGAAGTCTCATCAAAAAAGGAGCTCTGGATTTCTTCTCATTCTCTCTGATGGCACATTGTATGATGATGATTGATGGATGATAAGACAATTGATCTTATCTTGGTTCTAGTGGAGACAAGGCTTGCAGGTTAACAGGCGAAGGCTCTGATGTACTCGGTGTTAATGGTAACACAATCTTTTTATCCATATTGTTAGGTATCGAATACCGGTATGACCCTCCCAGGCTATATCCACCGATGCTGTCTATCGACTTCATATATTCTGATGCATTGTTTTCTATTATCAAAGCATCCTCCAGCTCGCGAACTATGTCAGCCATGCAAGGCCGATAAGCAGAGAAGGGCTGGATACATGCCAACGCCACCTCCACAACTCGCCACAATGCCTCTGCATGGTAGCCTCCCTTGATGTTTGGATCTACGATTTCATCAATCTTTGACTCTCTGATATAGGGCTTGGCCTGCGTGTATGACAAGGTTTTTTGACAAGGTCAGCTTTCTTTCTGGAAACTATTTAGATCAGAAAACTAATTGAAAATGGTAGTGATTGTTGGATAAAAACAGAGCACGAGATTAGATTACAACATACCCATTCAACCAAGCTCCATTCATTGCGCGGCCTGTGTACATCTAGAGGCTCCCTGCCACTAATGATTTCTAGTAGAACTACACCGAAGCTAAAGACGTCACTTTTGGCAGATAAATGCTGAGTGGAGTAATACCTGTTTTTATCATGTGGGAAGCATGCATCACTTCTGGTGTCTCCCAAAAGGGGTTATAAAGTATACATTTATATATATATATATATATGTATACACATACACATCCCCAAAGGGTTATGAAAAATGCATAGATAGTATACATACATACATACATAGACATACACAAGTATGTATATATGTACGCTGTAGAGGTTTCAAATCAATTCATGACATATTCAGACTTACTCTGGATCCAAGTATCCAGCGGTTCCTCTTACTTCAAGAGAAACACCGCAATCTCCTTCTTGGGTTGCGTACTTTGAGAAGCCGAAATCTGCAACCTTTGCGCACATGCTATGATCCAGGAGAATGTTGCTCGACTTTACATCTCGATGTATAACACAGCGGCCAGCAAATGTATGGAGATACTCCAAACCTAACCATCAGAAAAATTAACATTTCATACCTCTACTATTGTCTTTGTTAACTCAAGGAGGAAATCAAAAACCAAAATCTACTGTAATTTCATTATGTTGTAGATGATTCTATGTAATCGCTTGCCTCGAGCGGAACCAAGAGCAATGGAAAGTCTGGTTGCCCAGTCCAGAGTTTTTCTTTTTGAAGCTTCACCTGTTAATGGACTGGTTGTTAAATAAGTGAATGAAGGGAAAAACCGGAGGAAAAGAAAATAAAAGCAGCCCTGGAAGATAAAAATAGTACCGTAGAGACGATCTTGTAACGATCCATTGGACATGAAAGGATACACAAGAATTTGTTGGTCATTTTCGCAGCAATAACCAAGAAGAGGCACCAGGTTCTGATGTTGGATGGCTGAAAGAAGGTTTAGCTGCAGAATGATTTTAGCAATTGCAAACGTTAAGAATGCTGGCAATAGAACTAACTTTGATAGCACATTAATTATATTTTTCAAGATATACAACTGTAGCTAGTAATCTAAGATGCATACATGTGTGTGTGTGTGTGTGTATATATATATTATGACTAGCCAATGTAAGGAGATAGAGAGAGCATTGTTTTGGATTAACAATGGAACTGATAAGTAAATGTTGAACCTCATTTTCGAACTCCTTAGTTCCTTGAGTGGAGGTGGCTGATCGAACCTTAGCTGCCACTTCCTCTCCATCGGGTAGCGTCCCACGGAAGACAGGTCCAAATCCTCCTTCCCCAATAAGTGTTTTGTATTTTTGTGTGGCAATTTCTATGGATTGTAGAGTAAATACTTGTATAGATATAGACTTCATGATAACATCATCCGTACTAGGTAGTGAGAATACCAAATCTGCATGTTTTGGGATAACCCAATTGAGAAATATGCAAGAATTTTAATTTCTAACAGGTAATAGATTCTAATCCAAAAATCATCTGATGATAGATGAAGTAACTTGAAAATTGATCATTACGAATCTTTATATTTGGTTGAGATAAGAATAACATCTCTTAGTAAGTCCTACAGAGCTTTGTAAAATTAGAGTGCTCAATGAGCCAAAGAACTGCAGGAAGAGGACTTCCCCCTGCTGCACCCAGTAGGTGCTGGCGAATCGAGAATTAATCTTATCTGGTCTCTGCATTCAAATTCTTTCCTTCAAAGAAAAAAAAAAAGGCAACATGGTGAGTACTCACTTTCTGTTATTAGATGTGGCTTCCCATCAAATCTACTTTGGGCGAATCTATGTCTGTAAAAGCAAACAAACATGACTCCAACTGCAACAGTGACTAGAAAGGATCCACATGCAACACTGCCTATGACAATTCTGTGTGTTAAATTTGTTGATTCGGGATTATCGCATTCACCCTTGCTGATACATTACCACCAAAACCATTTCAGATTTTCCAGTTTTTTCTCTTTGGCAACAATCATTACATTGTTAAGACATAAAATGAAATAGATCTTACTCTGTTGTAAGCCCCAAGCTGTTAAAGCTAGGAGGAAGCTCTTTCTCCAACCATGGATTGCACCCATAATATCTGGATTGACAGAAAACACAGCATACTGGGTCATTTACAGAAGATTTTTTGAAGGGCTTTTTCTTAATATAAATATATAAATCCTAGTAGTTTACACCGAAGAAAGATTTTTTTTAAGAAAAAAAAAAAAAAACTTACAATGTTTTAAGACTTGGAAGGCTTGCAAGAGATTCTGGAATGGAACCTGTAAGATCATTGTGGCTTAAATCCCTGATGAACCAGATGTATAGCAATTAGCATATGCAGACTTTTTGTTAGTCTAGTGTAAAAGAAACAGGAGTCACAAGCCAAATCTACATCATATTTGTCTTATGGATTTATGGGTTTAGTTAAATTTAGATCAAGAGATAATGAAAATCATTCGATCATGTTGATTAGACGATAAAGATAATTACAGCTAAAATAATGTTTGATCTTTATTTTTAGTAACAGCAGCTACATGTTCTACGTCAACTTCTTCTAAATTTAAAAATATATTAGCAAAATCAGATAGCATGGCTATGGCTGGTAGCTAAGAACTAATTAGTCTGGGAGAGAAACACTTACATTGATACCAACATGGAGGATGTCGGAAACTCCGGGATCCCACCTGAGAAGTCATTGTTGCTAAGGTTTCTGCATTTCACAAACAAAGCAACAGAACACTATGTTTAGATTCTATTTTATTTTTTCCATAGTCAAAAGCTTATTACAATTACAGAAAACTAGTACTAGATCATACAGGTACTCTAGGTATGCCAAACGAGTGATGTTGTGCGGAAGTGACCCAGTAAGTTGTCTAGATGATAGATTCCTGCAAAATAAGAGAGAGAGAGAAAAATGAAACATGAGAAATAACAAAGCTGATATCATTCTGGACTGCACTTTAGGGTCTGTTTGGAAAGAGAGAAAGAGAGTGTTCACAATAAAATCTCAGATGATAATTAATTTACTCTTATTTTCCCTTCCTTTCCCCTTTTTCCCCCCCTCCCAAACTGATCTTAGCAGAAGAAATTGGGACAACTTTTAGGTTAAGAATGCAGAACCCGAGAAGAGAGAAAAACTTACAGGCCAATGATGACAGAGGAATCACCACCAAGGTGGCAAAGCAAACCTTCCCATGGATCAGGAATGCATGGATCTCCGGACCAACTCTCCAGTACTACATTTCCTTTGTTATCCTCCAGCAATTCCTCCTTTACCTGTCCTATCACATTCACTAAAGAGTAGATTTTTTTCTTTAAACTGCTGCAGATCTTGGATAAATAGTTCGTATAATTCTTGTATTACCCGGTAATAAGTAACAATAAGGTTATAAATTAAGCATTACAAGCGTAAATTTTGCTCTTACAAAACTACATTAGATAGAAATTAGTTATTCGTAACGAGTCCAGAATGGAGGAAGAAACAAAAGAATATTAGGGTTTTTTTTAAAGAAAATGGAAGAAAATAAGAATGTGAAGGAAAATCTCTCCCGAAAAAATTAACCCATTTATTTTTCTTTTCGTCAATTTAAGGGAACACGAAATTGCACATTTTCCATCCAAACATACTGCAATGCAAGTGTGGAAGGGACACTATTGGTTCTTCATGTGTGAAGTTAAGAACTTCAAGAAAACCTAAACAAGCTAGAAAATTTAATATACATATCGAACTTACCGTCATTTTGGTCAGTGAGTTGAATCCATGATTGTACTTTGAAGATCTCATAGGCACTGCAAATGGGTCCAAACTCAAACCCATTTGGGACCTTATTCAAGGTCACATTGACAGACCCATTTGCCCTAACATAGGAACCAACTTCTCTGTAATTTGCTCCATTTGCCAAAATGTCAAAATCCACCTGTTTCTTCTCATCGTTGATGTAAATATCGAACACCCTTTGGCCAGTCTTGACAGAGTCATTGAGCTCTACAAAGTAGAGGATCACAGAGTAGTTACTATGAGCTCCTTCGTCAAGGCCGCTTTGGAGGAACTCCAGTCGGTCTGGATGGGTTACAGCTGTTTGTAGAACTCTAGGAGGCACTGTTGTGTTGGCATTGTTGATGGAAATATTTGCATTGACTGTGGGGCTTTCATCTGATTTTATAGGCTCCCAAATTCTATCAAACTTGTCATCTGGGTACCTGAAATTGGCAGACAAGAATTAAGTTTTGATTAAAAAAAATTACAACAAAATCTAAGAATTGCTCCAAATATAGTCTAAACATGGATTTATAAATGAACATTTTGAAATTTCTGAACTTTTCCAGACAAAG